TACTAACAAATGTCACTTTTTGGTATGAATAAAAAAAAGACATTTCAATTAATGTATTTTATTATAAAAAGAGAAATATATATATATATATATATATTATTTATTTTATTATAAAAAAATTGTGTGTGTCAGCTCCGATGCACGACTGGAGTTTACTCCTTAAGTTCGATAGTCTAACCAGACGCAAAAAGAGTTTATTTAACTTAAAAAAGATTAATACTGTATGAAAGGGTAAATTAACAAATTTATGAAAATAATATACATATATAAATATATATTTATTCATTTCATATACATTTATTGTAACTAATCGACGAAATATTTTACATTAAACTTTTTACAATAGTCAATTTCAGATATGTATAAATATATCATTAGGAATGTTGATAAATTATGTAATTATTATTATCAGACTATTATATTTTTTTTTAAATATTAATTAAATCAACATTGTCTGCATTATTAATTACAGTGACAAGTGGTTTATGGTACCTAACTAAAATAAGACACATGGTACGTTCGTAAATACGTGGTTCACGAATCTTGAAAATACCGCATCAATGGTTTTACCATACCTCGTTGTCCCCGTTGCTCTTTCAGAAACAACATCTAAATTCAGTTCAGATTTAAAAAAAAATATTAATGTCAATCCGTCATCTTTGTTTGTCAAAGTTGCGCGACATAGGATGCACACCAAAAACGTAACGAGGTCATTCATCGATAGATTTTACTCCTCACATTTTTCTCATACCGGGCCCCTTTTAAATGCAAATCGATTCTTAAGGAGTAAACTCCAAAACCTAAATTCAGAGAGAACAATCTTCTTTAGCGCATAAAATTGTTACGTTTTGGTGCAAATTGTTGATTTCATAGCGCTATAGTACGAAATTGAACGCGTTTTGTTGCAACTTCAATAGAATTTTCGATAGAATTCAGGAATTCGAACCGATCTGCATACTCAACTTATTTTCTGAACTACATGTCAAATGTTACGTTTTAGTGTGGACCATCTATGCTTTAGCATTTATAAGTATTTTATTTGCGACGAGACATATTCATCCACTTATTCTATTCATTTGAATGTAGGTATGTGCGCGTTACCGTGACACGCTTTTTCTCGTATGACAATGTTTCCCTGACACAATGGGACTCAATGGGAGTTAGAGCTGCCTGTCACCTTCTTAATTTACAATACTGTTTCCGGTCCCACCTATTAAAATACGAAAGGAGTGTCCTTTTTAATATTTACTTTCGTCCCTTGTCTGTCGGTAAAGTTTACAATTATTTTAAAATAGTCAATATTATTGAAAATTAATAGCTCTAATGACAAAATATTTAAATAATAAATAACGCCAACCAGTAACTAGCTGTGTTTATTAGGTACCTAACGTGCTATAGTTTCAATGGTGCATAAACATTTCATCTTACCCTATTCATGTTTTGTTTTCTCAATTCTAAATAACGAAATTCATTAAAAAGGGTTAAGCAGATTTCTTAATAAAATCGTAGTAGGTACTTAGTCAGATTTTATACTATGAATGTAGTTGAAATCTTAAACTACTTTCTATGAAATTTTAATACACTTTAACTAGTGTTGCACCGAATGTGGGCCCTGCCCAATGTCATCCGAAAATCGGTAAACGTGTACTTTTGCTCAATGAACAAAACGTTTAAAAATAATATAACATATATTAAATATGGTATAGTTACAAATAAAAAAAACCGAAAAAGTGCGAATCGGACTTGCTCACCGAGGATTCCGTACAAATTTGTAAGTAGGTACGTAACATAAACGGCCGGTAAAATATTATTTCACGTTAACTTAGAAGTATGATTTATTCACTGCTTTAAGGGATCGTATTTTTGAGTAAGACCTAAGTATATGTATTAATTTCAACTCGATATCTTTACGCATTTCCGAAATAAAGGATCTTGACAGACAGACGGAGAACAAAGAAATCTTAAGGGTTCCAGTTTTTCTTTGAAATACGGAACCCTAAAAATACTAAAGGTCAAGGTATCATTATCTAAAATAAGTGAAAAAGAAGGAGGAATCTTATGATACTACCTTGATGATTGATAATTTTTTAAAGCTTAATTTGATACTTGATGTTTTTCTTGTCCAAGGCAATAAAATAAACACTACGAACATCCACGTGATACCTTAGCGTGATACCTTTTTGCCTACAAATCATCATTTGATCAAGATTTCATTTTAAAATACATTCCTTTTCACTTTTACATTTCTGTTTTAAATTAATTTAAGACGTTCGGGGGAACTAACCAAAATTCAGCTGAAGACCAAGTTCGGTAAAACTGCTAAAGGCAAATTTCGGTAATATAGTTTTGATATTTATCTTACGTGTTGTGTTGTGAATTGTGATCTGACGCAATCGGTATCATACATTTAGTACGGTTATAGGATTCACAATCATTTACTGAGACCTCGCTTGCGGGTTACAGGGTGTGAGTGAGGACAAAAACGACACCGTGAGAGGTGCGGGCGGCGGGAACTTGTAATTTTGACTAGAATATGACTGCCGCCCGCACCTCTCACGGTCCCCATTTTCGATCTCCCCTACAGCCTGTACCCAGCAGAAACCGCGCTCAATACTAAAACTGCTTGTGGCTAGAGCAAGCGTCATATGGCATCCCCTGCCACATTTTTCGTGGTATTCTGCAACGTTAAGGGCTGAAACTCCAACCGTAATGCTGTCACCACCACTACCACCTTGAGACAGCGCAGCAGGCTTTGCTCTTTTTTATCGAGACTCATATATCCTCTCCAGGAGACACCTCCTACCTCCAGTACCCTGGGTATAGCTTGGAACAGTCCTATGTACCTTGGGCTATAGGTATCAGTTTCCGTCGTCGAAGCAATTTTTGAAGGTAGGGACCTCTCCATCCTTTGTTTGCGTGTAGACGTCGAAGACCACCCCCTCGGTTACGCCTACCTATACATGGTCTGACACAAATTGACACAATTGGTTACCTCGCCTACGCGAATCCACAATATCGAAAACCACACACCTTCACTGTTGGACCTTCTTCTTGGCTCATTGGACCATTGTCTAATCCGAAGTATAGTGCCACTCACTTATTTACCGCAGCACAATTAACAAAGTCAGCAGATTGGGATGGAAATCCCAAGGGTAGGACGCAAAGAAAGAGCTGATTTGTTGATTCTGCCACCGATGTCGTCCTCCAGGCTATGGAACTTTATGTTCCTTCCTCTGTGGTTCCCATTGGTGGCAAATCTCAACCTTGGGTTTGGTCGCCACTGTAAACTGGCATCTCGCCAAAAACAGGTCTTATTAGGCCTGGGCAAACGCAGCGGCGCGGGCGGTTCGGGATGCAAATACCCAGCGATCTCAAAAAAGTATAACTCAGCCTCCAGGTCTTGCAAAAGAGTGATTGCTAGGGCGAAGTCGAAGCACATCAGCAGCATTGGAGATTAAGCAAACTTGCGTCAGGAACTCGCACGTTTTGGTCTCTTGTCAAGGCTGTTGAAGGAAACTTCTGTAAGCCATCCCTACCAGCGTGAGCCATCGATTCATCAGCATTGTGTAGAGGTAATGCTGATGAATCGATGGCTCACGCTGCAAAAGAGAAAGCGAAACTTTTATGTTCACTCTTTGCATCTAACTCTACTTTGAATGACTGGGTATACACACCGCTAACCATACCGCAGTGAGAGAGCTCTATGCCAGATATCCGGTTCACACAACGCTTAGTGCGCAAAGCACTCTTCCCACATGATATTCACAAGTCGAGTAGGCCTGATGGAGTCTCACCAGTTGTGAGCATAGTTAGAAAGGGATGTCGCTATAATATATAGCACATAGCGATATCCCTTTCTAACTGTACTCAAGTAAAGATCAACACTTAGTTGTCATTCTGTAATACGGGCCTTACTCTTCAGGCGTCGATCCAAGCTCATGGAAGACAGCTTCCGTTACACGGGCGTAGCCAGGGGGAGGGTTTTGGGGATTCAAACCCAACCCCCCGAGAAGTTAAGTTATCAACATCAATAATATCAAAATAAGGAGAGGCGAGCGGGATATCTTATTTTATTAGTAATTATTACACTAATAATGTATTTTGGATTCGCCCTTTACTACTGAATATTCGCTATGGGATAGAAATTGATGCGAATGAAGTAGTGGATATATTTAAAAAGAAAAAATAAGATTAATTTTGTAGTGCATATGTAATCAAATTTACCTTCCGTTTTTTTTTTACATATTTTGCATCAAATTTGCATGCACTTTCAGTAATTTTATTTTCTTGAACCCAACCCGATACTAAAACCTGGCTAGACCCGTGTTCCGTTATCAACTGCCAGCTCCTTCAGAGGAGCACCAGCTGATCGGCGTCCACCAGCAGCGAGTAACATATTTCGTGCACCCGAATACGGGGTAACAATCAAGTGTAACAAACCAATAAATATATGAAACAAACAGCTCTCTCTTGATGCGTCACAACGACGCCACAACACGACAAATTAGTGTATTTCTGCCATAATACCATGAATTTGAGTGCATCCCTATATCTAACATAATACCTGTAATCAGACTCGAGCCATTCGTCACAACTGTGGTCACATCTTACCACAAAGATGATTGATAATAGTTGGCGAATTGAACGCCAACTGTGCGCTTACTAGACTGAACTGAATATAAAATTAGATGTTTAATCTAACAAACAATTAGTAAACTCATATATAAAACAAAAATAATTAATTAACTTATATTTTTATAATAAAGTTTTAATAAAGCTATAAAGAATTAATTTTGCGTTAAAATATTTACCCAGTTTGAAATAAAAAAAATCTGCTACTCCAAATTTACCCAAATAATGTATTATTCCAGATCTACTGGATTTGTAAAAATATTACATAAATACATAATAAAAAAATAGGATATTATAGTAGATTTTTTTTTAAACTTATCAGACATAATGAGTGTTCATTTAAAGTAAAAGAAAATCATAATAAACAAGCTCGTTTTGACATTTTATTCATGTAAATTTGCAGATATAATTAATACAAATGGTCATGTAAATTGGGATCTATGATAAATAATATAATTATTAGCTGGTAAAGAGGACGCTGGCACAAACTGCCTCAAATAGTCTGTCTCCAGCCATTGTTCATTTAGATGACTCATTGAATTATAAAAAGGCAGTCTCGGAGGTGTGGCTTTACAAATACTGTCTTATTCCTAAGGTTTACAATATGAGATTTTTCTTGTGTAGTGACAAAACACAAACTTATACTATGTGAACATTTTTCTCAAATGGCTACTGAATGCATGCATGACTTTACATTAGGTTTTTCACTTTCTAGGTGGTAGTGCCGAGCTATTGAACTAATAAATTCCTAAGAGATTAATGTGACAAAACCTATATTGTCTACATGTCATACATCACAATTTTCCTAAAGCTATCTGTACATTTTGGATAATTTAAGGTGTCTATAATAATGCCAATGTTACAATTTTACTTGCTCAATATGTTGCTACAATGTTGAGCAGCGTGTATTATATACTTCGCTACTGTTAATTAATTTAAGGTACACATTGCATAGCTGCATTGCCTCAAATGTTGCACACAATTTTACTCAATGAATTAAGGATGGTTGAGATAATCTAGGTACAAAATTCAATTATTCACAAACAAATCCATAAATAAACTTTGATTTAAACAAAATGGAATAACTATTCTGTATGTTAACACTACTGATTTCATGAATGTATAATCATTCACTACAAAAAGAGAGCATAATGATTATTCTTCAGACTCTTGCTTTTCTGGAATGGATGTCTTCAACCATGGATGCTGAAGGCACTCATATGCAGTAGCACGCCTGTTAGGATCAAAATCTAACATGGGTTTCAAAAAATCTGCAAACTCCTCTGCATCTTTCTGACTCCATTCATACTTTTCAGTTAAAACAGAAACCAATCCCCATGGCTTTAGACCTGTAATGTTTCTCAACTCACCTTTTTTGTTAAAAAACATTTTTGAGTACTTTCCTGAAGCTGCAATTCTCTTAGGAATGTCCCCAAGTAATTCAATAATGTGAGCTAAATGGTCTTCATCCCTAGTGTAACCATCACCAGAATGAGGCTCAAATAAATAATCTCCAGTAGCTAATTCAAAAGCCATGCATGCAGTGCTCCATATATCAGCAGAAGTGCCATATCCTGCACTTAATAAAACTTCTAGGGAACGGTACTGCCTTGTCTGTATATCTTCAGTAAAATGTCTGTGTACCCAGCAGGCGTTACCCAAATCCGCAATTTTCACCTCTAAGTCACATACATCAAAGGCAGGATCAGGTTGTTTATCAGAATTTTTCTCTTTCAGAGATTGAGAATTTAGTGAAGGCGGTGTGTCTGTCATTTCTCCTTCTGACATAGGTGTGCTTGCATCATCACCACAGCCATATTGTTTGCTTCTAACCTGTACAGCCTCAGCATCTGTGTCAAATGCTTCGTCATCTGTTCTTCTTATATCAGTACAGCCATTCATAGTATCATTATCAGAGCGAGTGGTCTCTATAACACTTGCCTCTTCCGGGGTCTGCGGTGAATCATCATTGTCTTGAGACATTGGTGCTGAATCACAGACCTCAACTTTCTTTTGTTCTTCAATCTCTTCTATTTGCTCCATTTGTTTCTTGAGCAACATAGATTGACGTTTAGCTTTTTTCTTTAACTTTTTCTTTTTGTTCCTACTCATTTTACCCGTTACTACCTGTTCTTGGAATTCTTTAGGAGCTGTACTTATAAGAGAGTGTGGTAATCTCAATCCTAATGAATGTAACTCTGTAGCTTCAGCCGCTAATCTACGAATGTAAGCTTCATCCACACAAACCAATACATTTTCAGGTTTTATATCAGTATGAATTATCTTACATTTGGTATGGAGATAATCTAAGCCCTCAAGAACTTGACGGATTATAGTCTTCACATTCTCACGGGGTATGCCTCTATAATTGGACTTGAGTATCAGCTTAAGGAGATGGTGGCCCAATACTTCAAATACCATGCACACATGTGTCCCATTAACACCAGTTATTTTAAAATCGTTAAGAAGTTGCACTGTTTTATTCCTTTTAGGGTCAGAGGGATCGCTATCGCGCACCGCTTTCAGTATTTTAATCTCATCTAATGCCGTTTCCGTGAAGTGGGGAGCCGACTTGACTACTTTTAACGCCACAAAGCGTTTGTCTTCCAGATCCCAACACAACCATACTGTTGAAAAATGCCCCCAACCCAATTTTCGAGTGACGTGGTACCGATTCAGGAACAAGTCCCCGATTTTGACAGGATGATATCCACCCTTGCAATAATCTGCACTGTCTTCCTGCTCTTCATCGTCACTCGCGTATTGCTCGAAGACAGACGCATCTTCTTCGATCGTTTCATTGGAAGAACTATGTGTTGGTTCCAAACGGTTTTGATTTTGGTTGCGCAGCCCGTTTCCTTGTCCACCACCGCCGTGATCCTCCTCACGGTTTTTCTTCTTACCTAGTTTATGGCGTTTCTTCTTCGCCTGAATGGCGAGTACCCTTCTATTTACATCTGATTTAGAACTCATTTAGCAAATTAAAACACTTTCAACAACTTTCAATAAATTAAAATTTATTTTTTCATCTCAATCTTTTTGTTTGAGTATGGCGGCCGGTCGTAGAACAAAATGCGCTCGAACACGAAAAGGCGAAAATGTTGCTATAGTAATAAACATCACCGACGTTCAGAAACTATTAGGTTTATACAACATGTATGGAAACTCGCGCTTTTTACTAGGTACTTTTTATTTATATTGAAGCCTTTTGTTAAATTAATCTAAATTGCGTGCAAACCTAGAAGAATAGAATAGAAGTAGTAATAATTATAATATTATATACTACAAAGAAGTACTAAGTACCTTTTATACCTATCAATAGGTTGTTATTAAAGTGGCTTCCACACGATACAATTTTACGTCCAATTTGATTAGATTGACAATCGAATTGTGTTGTGTGGACGGACGGAAATATGAAATTGAAGGTCATTGGATGGTCGGGATTGCCCAATCAAATTGGATGGTGCGGACGCCAACTGGCCAATTTTTTAACGTAGTCACCACAAACTATATAGTGATGCTAGCGCATGTAGTCACTGTGCAAGCGGCGTTCAGAGCGGGTGTGTGCGTTGACTTGTCTTTTGAGAAGAAGATGGAGCAACATGACGACAATATTATGTCTATTCGATCTGAACGGGAAGTAATGGAGGAGATTTTAGATATATGTAAAGACTATTAAGATAAAAGAAATTTACATTATAATAAAACTAATATTCAATTATCAGTCATCTAGTCTTTTATTTTATCCCATATGTCAAGGTTCTTCCTTTTTCATATGTGACACAAAAACATGGATACACCAACCTCAACATCCTCCCTTTTTGCTAAGTCTATGAAAAAGGATAAACTATAAACAACTCAAACCAATTCGGCCCAATATCGATATAATGGACGGTCTGCTGAGGGGCTTTATCAGTATGTCTGCACTTTGAAGGTTTGCCCCTACGTGCCGGACCTGTATTGTTCCTTCTGCAACTAGTTCATTATATCGATATTGGACCGAATTGGTTTGAGTTGTTTATAGTTTATCCTTTTTCATAGACTTAGCAAAAAGGGAGGATGTTGAGGTTGGTGTATCCATGTTTTTGTGTCACATATGAAAAAGGAAGAAGCTTGACATATAGGATAAATTATAATGTACGGAAGGAAAGAGGAGGTCTGTTCAAACTTAATGTCAAGAATGTAATGCCACCTTTACCATTTGAAGTTAATACCTTGACAAGTCATGATTCATTGCAGATATTTCATGAACGGCTAGCACATCAAAGCAAGTCGCATGTTAAAAAGGTTGTAGAAAGAGAACTTGGTATAAAGGTTCTTAACATCTCGTCTGAATTTTGTGAAGGTTGCAGTTTCGGGAAAATGACCAGGCAAACTTTTGGAACTCGTGATAGAGCAAAGTTACCAGGTGAAATTATGATAGTTCATCAACATTAGCGATTACAGACATGCACTATTGTATAAAGGGTATAATCGTCTGTGAGTGGCCATCAAAGAGTAGTATAATGTGGCCATCATCTCCTGTAATCGTGAGTAATCGGTAAATTGTCGGTACAGTACAGGGTTACCAACATTTATTCTATGAAATAGTAGTTTCAAAAATGCTGTTCCTTTTAAAAATATAGTGGGCTCAATGGACAAGAAATCTGCAAAATTTTCCCACTAGGGGCGCTGTTATCGCTTGACCCAAAACTTCTATCAAATACGTACTTATTAGCTTATATTAATTTTACAGCTTTTTATTAAACAAATTACAAATGCCGCTTTGTGCAATTCCTGGTTATTGTGAGAAAACTGCATGCTTCCCGACTAAAACATTATTTTATATGTTGCTTTGAAAGGGGGGAGGGGTAAAACTGAGCTGCTGTTTACACCATGGTATGTATCTGGGACTAGTAATAGCATCTCGATGTCTTCGTATACTTCTGATTTTAGCCAGAGGTAACCTAACTCTATGTGATATCTGACTGATGCAAAAATAACATAGATTTGACTAATAAACCCGCTAAAAGTTACTGCAATCCATGAACTACTAAAATAATCATGAAAAATGCCTCTATGTACCGAGAATAGTATAATAATAGAAGGAGTGCCTTTCTACTAGATCAGCTTTTCTGCCTTGCACAGATGCTCCTCTCCTTTTCAACTCTGTTTTCAGCTGTATTACAGACCATGTTGAATACACTTTTACCACTCATTTGATATTTTTAACAACAAAAAAACACGTTTAAAATTTGACAGCTGCAATATTCGGCTGTGGTTTGGGTCAAGCGTTTGCAGCGTCACCTATATCGAGCTTTGCGTATACTTCTCCATTCTGGCGAGCCAATTTATATCTAAAACTAACTAAAAAAAATTAGATATAGACTTGTCAAATTCAATTTGGTATTCTGTAATGACACTCTATCTCTAAATTAAAAACTGACGTTGCTAAGTTCCTCAACTTACATTTAGGAGATTATTTGGTATTCTGAAACGCGTTCTAAATATCATATTTTCTCTAAAATTAGAAATGTCGCACTAAATTTGAGAAGGACCTACGGAGGTCCTCTCTAAATTTAAATGTGAATAACTGGGGCCAATAATTAGGTAAATGATTGCTATAGATAAGTTTTAAACTTATTGTTAGGGTTTGATATGGGTTTGGTTGGTTAAAAAAAGTTATAAATTAATAATCAAATACGACGTTTATAATAAGTTGAATAATAAGTGGAAAGGTTCATTTACTGAACTGTTTGCCTCGAGAACTTCTTTTCTATAGTTTGGTTGTTTTAATTACGTGGTTTCGTTTTTCTAAATCTACGTAATGGTGTCGGTGATATGCATTCCAATCCAAGTTTTGTTTAAGTCAGTTTAGTTTTGTTTTTATGAAGCAGTTTTTGATATTTGTTAGAAATGTTTTTATTTACTACTTTTTTTATTTACTAGTTTTTATAAGCTAATCATATTTCTTAAAATAACTAAACACGAACTAAATTCCTGCTGTTTGTCATTGAGAAGTTTGTTTTTATATATGCGAAAGTACTTGTCATCTTCACCAAATGAATTATTGGGATTTGGGACCATCTCGCTAAAATCTGATAGAAACAAAAAAGATAAAAATAGTTTACGCATCTCGCATTATACAATAAATGAGAACAAAATCTTCACAGAACAGGCGAGGGGATAATAACAACCACTTATCGCAACCGAAATTTATAACCGTAGGTATTAGACAGATGCGCTGGATTGCGAATTTACGATGCGAGACATTTTCAAAAATGATTCACGTTAGACCGTGTCGGCCGTAGCAGAGTTAACTAATATAAAACAATATATTTTACATGGATTATGGACATATTCACGCTATTCCGGGCGGTAACCGACTGACAGCCGAGCAACAAACGAACAACGCTCGGAAAAAACTTGGTCTCGCCTCGGCCCCGCCACACGGCCCGTTGAATGAACACAGCGCCCCGGCGCGGCAAAATAAAACGATTTTGCTGGGACGAGTACATATCTATATATTCTGTATGAGTAGACTGCAATCACGGCACAACGGCACCTACCTAATGAGGGCTATCGCGTATGAATCCGCCGCTAGAGGCGCTAGTGTAGCGTGAGGTCTCCAAAATGTCAAATGTTATTGCTTGTTGGTTGACTACGCGGGTTTATTTCTTATTAAAATAATGTTGTGAATAATTGGTAACAATTCGGCTTAATTATGGCAAATATGAGTTATGTGGCAATGAATGTCAGTTATTAAAAATTTGAGCTTAGAAAAATGATTATGTTTCCATTTTTTCCGAATAAAACGGAACTGGGCGTCACTGTGGCATGGCCTATTATGTTTAGGATATGGTTCTTTTGTGTTAAAATACGATCTAAATGTAACCTTTTGATTTCATGTGCGTATTAATAAACTTTAAAAGTTACAATTTAGGACCTCACTCATCTGGTGAGACAGAAACGGTAGCCCTCATTACTCGGTCGGGGCACGTTTTTGTAAATTGCAGGTGCGTTACCGTCTCGATGACCGTGCTACGGCTGAAGCTCGGCTCGGACTCGACACAGTCTAGCGTGACTGAACATCCTTAATAGATTTGTTAGGTACCAAAATCTAGTTGGTACCTATATTTGCATTTAATTTTAGAAGTGGTGGCTTTCCCCAACCATTAGCCAAAAAAAATATGATGAGATAATGTGAAGAGATGGCGCTGCCTTGTAGCTTAAGAATGGCTAGAAGAATTTCGACGCGGTCCGTGAGGGCCGTGGTAGCATAATTGGTCAGTGCATTCGCCCGGATTGCGAAGGGTACGGGTTCGAGTCCCGTCTGCTGCCTGGTCCGCGTGGATTTTTTTCTAGTTATATTTTCTTTAGATTTAAACATCAAGCAGTTACATGCTTTAAAAAAAATAAAAATTATAACTATAATTGCTATTTCTTCTTTCAAATGATTAATACTTGTAATGCGCTTACCACACGCACAAGCTTCACCACAGTTTGGCCTGCGCAAGCATCTCGCACGAAAAAACTGTACACTTTGTGCGTTACCACACGGCACAGTTAAGTACGCGCAAGCCTCATTCTTATCGAAATCATTGGCGTGGAAACAATGTTTCCTAATGAAGAAACATTTCTTATGCTACTATTTTTCAAGTGTTTGCTATTAAAAAGAACATGTAAAAACGATAGGATATGTACATAATATGTGCAAGTAGTTATAATAAGGTAGTAGGTATTAGGTATAGGTATTTAATTGCAAAAATTATGTTCTTACCTCTTTCATTTTATTTATCATTATTTCGTAAGTGTCGTTCTTTTTATTTCGGTCGGAATAATCTTTAGATTTAATTTTCCAAAGTGCAGGCAGAGATTTGTATAAACTAATTAATTCAGACGTGAATTCGCGATTGTACGTACGCAAATCTGCCATTTTTGAGTGACGATGACGAACGACCTCATGAAACGACGAGCGAGCCTCGACTCAAAATACACTCGACTGTGGCTTGAACACTGAACGCCCAACCACACGCACAGACAAGAGAGATGCACAGACAGATGAGATGCGAAGAGATGGCGCTGCCTTGTAGCTTAAGAATGGCTAGAAGAATTTCGACGCGGTCCGTGAGGGCCGCGGTAGCATAATTGGTCAGTGCATTCGTCCGGATTGCGAAGGGTGCGGGTTCGAGTCCCGTCTGCTGCCTGGTCCGTGTGGAATTTTTTCTAGTTATATTTTCTTTAGATTTAAACATCAAGCAGTTAAATGCTTTAAAAAAATAAAAATTATAAAAAATATGATTCCAAAGTTCTCCCCGCAGATTTATTTTCCCCAAGTTCATATTAAGCCCTAAGTACCACAGAGTAGGCAAGTATTCACTCTTTAATAATTATTCATAATTTCTCATACAGTAAAATAACAAACTTAAGTTATGTTTCTATATTTCTAAGAGGATGAAGGACAACAAAGAATTACTGAAATAAGTCAAAATCACTGAATAATGAGTATTTGCTATTTTGAGTAAAGCGATTACCGGTTCAATGCTTTTACCTAATCTGTGTCACTATAGTAATAATAACTATCTTCTTTTTATTTCCCACCTTTTAGTAAGTGTCCGAAAAAAATGACTGTCAAAGTAGCTTGAGTTGAGTGTCTATTAGCCTGGCCCTCGAAAGTCAAGCATGACAAATTTTGATAATTTTATTGTTGTTTTATTTTTAAGCATTAACAATCTTCTCGAATTATGAATCTACAGGTTTTTTTATCTAGAAAAAATTGAGTAGATTTTTATAATTGCAGCAAAGTATCAGGCGGGTTCAGCAAAAAATAGATGATGGTAAGATAAGATGTAAACTGGGATAATAATGAAATGTATGGAAGTTATATAATTATACAATAGTACTTTTTAACAAATATTAAGCGTTTTTGTAAGCGTAAGCGACGGTGGCGACCTCCTTTTTTTCATGAGTATTGATAGCCTACGTAACTACAGTACCAGGGGGCCAATCGCCTAACTGGATTGCTTTGGAAAACGCTATCGCTTACGATTTCATTTTGTTATTTCTAGCCCCCTGAGGTTTTCAAATGCCTCGCGCTCTTTTTTTTTCTTTTGCATTGGTAATAACAATGTTAAAGAAAATGAGCGTGAGGTATTTCGGTGGTTAGAAATAACAAAATGAAATCGTAAGCGATAGCGTTTTCCAAAGCAATCTGTTTAGGCGATTGGCCCACAGGGGCCCAATTCTCGCGGCATAGATATTATATCACCTTCGATATATATCGAATGATCTGGCTTTTATCGAAGGAACCTTTTTGCCCTATTCTCACCATGTCGCAATAGATATTTATCTACGGATGATCAGTAGACATACATCGACTGGTAAAGAGCCTTCGATATATAAATATCTATGGATCTTGGCATGTCAATCTTGTTATTTCCACTTTTTTTACCTATTATTTATTATGTTGTCGTGTGTCTTCGCCAATAGGCTAGTTGACCCTTTTTAGAAAAAGGTTTTAAATGGTCAATAAATGTTCTATTAGACCGAAAAAAAATGTATTGTATTTTTTTTAAACCTAGAAAGCTACAAATCTTTAATTTTAAAATAGACTTTTCATGGACATACAAAAACGCTGTCGGCCATTTTAGTCTATAGATTGTCTATGCTATGACGTGAACTGTGGTAAACAAAAACTCGTAAACATGTAGAAAATTACTTTTAACTGAGTTTTTAATAAAAAAAAACATGATTTCTAATAAATACCACGAAAAATAAAGTAATTATCATTACTGTATTGTACGAGAATAAAAAAACACATCCTTGAAGACTCCAGGAAAGTTGTGGATTAAAGTGCCGAAAGAAATTAACCTACGCAACTTTATTACACTTATTCATATGTTGTATCAGTTTTATGTTTATTACTACATTGTAATACTAAATGCACGGTACTTACATAGATGCCATGTCGTTTCTCTGCTCCGCAGAGCAGAAATCGGGGTTTAGTGCAACAAATTCACCAACCATCAATGCGTCAATTCTTGGCAGATTTGTGCTTTCTGCTTTCACAAAGCCGGCATCCATAATTTGTTTAGTCAAAAAAAACTAAGTTTACTGTTTTTTTCTTTCCTAAAGTTAAAAGTGTTTTAAGATAAATTTAGTCAGACGAAAGAATCCACCTACAGTAACACGCGAATGACATTTAGTTGTTTACCATAAGAGACGTCAAAATCATGGCGAATGTGGCGAACAGCGTTTTTAGTGTTTAAAAAATATAGACTAAAAAATATTTTTAAAATTAAATTTCTACAGCAATCTTCTGCTTTTATGAAGTGAAATCGATATATTAAGGTTCCTTAGACTAAACACTTTAAGAAATAAACATTTATTTAATACAATTCGACATGAGTAAACTAGCCTATTATTGTTACCTCAAGATGTTGTTAACTGCCTTCATAAATAATTAGTAAATAAAGAAGTAGGTAAACAAGGTGTCGATTCTGGCGTGATTCTCTAAACTTAAAACTAAATTTAACATCAGTCTCTCTTTTTCATTCTGTATAGAGAATGACAAGGATACACCGTTTGTCAAATTTACGTTTAGGTTTAGAGAATCATGCCAGAATCGACACCATTTTCTTATTGACGATACGGAGTTTTGGCGGGATTTCTGCGAGTGCGGTTGGCATCTATTTTAATTATTCTAAAATTCGTTCATAGTGGATATTGTAATATAAAATTGGTGTGATTTGGTGTTACAACCGTCTGCGCAACTGAAAAATTAGTTGAATCTTTAAAATATTCGCTATTCCGGTCAAGTGGACGCGAGAACTTTATTGTTGTGTTGAATACCTCACAGAAGTTTAAAGAAAATGTCCATAAATTTCGTGCCAAACACTCCAAGAAACATTAGAATGCGTCACACCGACATTCGAATGTAAAAAAAAGAAGATTAAAATAATTAAAGACTAAGCTTTATGGGCATTGTTCCCTTTGCCTTCCCTGAAAAGGGAGAATCTTAAATAATATTGACGTTTCATTATACATAACGTTGAAATTATAAACGCATACAATTTTGGTAAAGTTGAGATTTCTTATACTCAAAAAATGTATACTCATATTTAATATGAATGGAATTCATAAAATATCATTTTGTTGCTTGTTTCGCGGCGTAGATATTATATCGGCTACGAAATAATATCGAAAGTAGGGATATCTATTGAAAATATCTACTGATGGTAAAAAATGCTATTCTCGTGGATTTTCGATATTGCAATGATATTATATCTATCGTAGATATTCTTTCACTGCCGAATGCGTTCCGTTTTTCTCGATTAAGTTAACATCATAGTGTATATAAAATAATAATAAATTAGAGCAGAATTTTACAAGCAACAAAATGATATTTTATGAATTCCATTCATATTAAATATGAGTATACATTTTTTGAGTATAAAAAATCTCAACTTTACCTAAATTGTATGCGTATATAATTTCAATGTTATGTATAATGAAACGTCAATACTATTTAAGATTCTCCCTTTTCAGGGAAGGCAAAGGGAACAATGCCCATAAAGCTTTGTCTTTAATTATTTTAATCTTCTTTTTTTTACATTCGAATGTCGGTGTGACGCATTCTAATGTTTCTTGGAGTGTTTGGCACGAAATTTATGGAGTTGGCTTTTTCTCTAAGCTTCTGTGAGGTAGTCAACACTACAATAAAGTTCTCGCGTCCACTTGACCGGAATAGCGTATATTTTAAAGATTCCACTAATTCTTCAGTTGCGCAGACGGTTGCAACACCAAATCACACCAATTTTATTTCACAATATCCACTATGAACGAATTTTAAAATAATTAAAATAAGATGCCAACCGCACGCGCAGAAGTCCCGCCAAAACTCCGTATCGTCAATAAGAAAATGGTGTCGATTCTGGCATGATTCTCTAAACCTAAACGTAAATTTGACAACAGTATCCTTGTCATTCTCCATACAGTTTTAAGTTTAGAGAATCGTGTCAGAATCGATACCAATGTCATTCATAACTTTAAAGATTTCTAACCAAATTTTTGATTAAACGTAATTTTTTTATGAAGTCGGCGTCCCTCATTTCATATGAGCCCTCTTGCTCTCACAATGGCGGTGCCTTAGCACAGCAACAGCAATCACGTCATTTATTAAATCATTGACGAAAACATGAATCAACTCATCCATCGTTAATATAAACTGGTGTCGATTCTGGCACGATTCTCTAAATCTAAATTTAAACTTGACAACAGTGTTTCCTTGTCATTCTCTATACAGAATGAAAAAGAGAGACTGATGTTAAATTTAGTATTAAGTTTAGAGAATCACGCCAGAATCGACACCATTGTTTACCTACTTCTTTAATTATTAATTATTTATGAAAGCAGTTAACAACATCTTGAGGTAACAATAATTGGCGAAGACACACGACAACACAATAAATAATAGGTAAAAAAAGGTAGATATTTATACATCGAAGGCTCTTTACCAGTCAATGTATGTCTATTGATCATCCGTAGATAAATATCTATTGCGACATGGTGAGAATAGGGCAAAAAGGTTTTCCTTCGATAAAAGCCAGATCATTCGATATATATCGAAGGTGATATAATATCTATGCCGCGAGAATCGCATCGTGCTTTAGAGAGAGATTCTCGGCTAGCTTCGGCTACCTTCGGCTTTGTAGAGCGTCATCTCTGTCACACGAAACACGTACAGTCCGGTATCTATTAAGAGCTACAAAAACTTTTTTTTAGGTTTTTTTTTAGAAATCGATATAAAAAGAAAACATGTAGGTAAAAGACAGCATATATGTACTATTTATGTTAATTTATTTATTTCAATGAAAAACTATATTTTTTTTTCCAACCAAATAACAAAATACACAAAACTAATAGATATGCGAAGCCTCTCCGTGTCATTTTACTAATCAGATTCTAAATTCTCAAATCCTTCCATATCACTATGTGAGCTCTCATCCTCGTCATCGCTGTCACTATCTACTATCGCCTGTATTAATCACTAGCCTATCAGTATAACTGTCTAAATGATGTTCAGTTCTTCGATATTCATTTTCACATTTTATTGCGTGTTCACAAACATTTTTCCACTCCTCAGCTCCAATAATGGTTACTTTTTCAGTCAATAAAATTTTCACCGAATTCAATTTCATATCCACATTTCTAGCGGCTACATAGCCTTTTAATTGAGACCATATTTTTTCAATAGGATTGAAATCCGGGTGATATGGCGGCAATCGCAACGTAGTGTGCCCATGTTCATCAAATAAAGAAAACTCTGTAAAATTTTCCTTGTGGCGACATAACATAGCATAAGTCTGTGGTTTCATCAAATTAGGATCAACTGGAATGATAAGTGTGTTTAACCAGTTTATCATTTCCTGTTTTATAGTGTTGGAATTTGGGGGTCTCTCTTCATATTTGTTATGATAAGGTGAGTTGTCATTAACCAGAACGGAGTTATTGGGAATATTTGGTATTAATTGATTTATCAGCCATTTCTCAGAGTTTTCATTATTCATCTCTTTGTGGTAATTACCTGTGGTAAGTGTGGATTTATATGTTAAAAAAGCTCCGGGAACAAAATCTTTTTCGTTGCCTGCATGAACTATTATCAACCGTTGACCCTTCGAAATTGGCTTCTTTACTTTTTTTCCTATTTTTTTATTATCAATCCAACTTTTGCCTTTTGTGTGGGATGTATGTATGTAAGACTCATCTATATAAATTATATTTCTTCCTTCATTGCGAAAATTGCATATCTTATCTAGGGTATTCAATTCGTTTGAGTCTTATCTATATATATATTAGTCATCATGTTTTCCATTAAAACTATTCTGTTATCTTTCATTTTAGTGAACCGAAATCCCATCTCTAGAAGATTTTTTCTCAACGTCTTTTCAAATCCATTATAGTTAATAGCCTCAGATAATTTGATTTTCAATGCTTTAATTATCGGAAATTCATTAAATGTTAAGTGAAAATCATACACCATTCTTCGAACAACATCCTAATCAAAATCATCCAAATCCAAACGGTGTTGCTTTTTGGTCGCCCTTTTTTTGGGAGTACCAAACTTAAATTTTTATTTTTATTTATTTGTTTATAGTCAGGCAACGAAGGCCCATAGATAAATACCTTATAGTCTAACATAAATACGGATATAGGTAATACATTAAATGTTAGTAATTAAAAAATAATAATAATTATGTTAGTAGAAACCTAATTAACACGTATAGACGGCGACGTGTGACGCGGAGTGGTGTCAGGTAGCCGGCCTCGGAACCGCCGGAACACAACACCTTTCGGCCTAAAATCTTCTTTTATGAACGTCGCCAGATGTTCGGTTGGCACCCACACCACAAAGGAATTAAAATTCACATTGTGACGGGACTCCAACCGTGCGACTCTGAGGGAGAATTTGGTCTTAATCCGCAGGTACTCTACGATCTCCTCTTCCTTCGTAGAGTAATGCAGTCGGGACACGTACAGCGGCGTCGTCGGTATTGCAGGACGCAGCAGATGGTCCAGTCGGGGCGGCACCACACAGATTGCGGCGAATGGGCTTCCTCTTCTTCCTTTCCACTTTAATGAAACTCTCTTCGTCAGAAATCCGCTTTTGTGACGCTGCCGGAGTAGCACGTTGGATGCTGAGTTTGCTACTCTTCTCTGTTTGTTGTTTACTACGACGCTCGCAATTCGGAACCGCATCAACGGGTCGGCTGGCGGCTGCTGCTGCGTAGGCACGTTGCGGTGTAGACGTGCATGCACGTGACGTCTCCGGTGTGACGGAGGGGCGGGCGGCGGCGGTGGAGCACGAATTAAATTCTTACTGTACAGTGGCGCACGACCGCTTGCAAGTACGCATCGCACTACACTGAAATGAACTCGGCTAGCTTCATTTAATATATTTCTGACAGTTTTTCTTGAAATTCCAGTAGTACTCGCAACTCGCTCTTGAATCTTCATAAAATAATTACTGCCATCATCATCCTTAATTTTACTTTCTTTCATGAAATATTTATACACAATCTAAAAAATTTCGCGAGACTGTCCGTGCCATGGTTTCCCACTTTTTATTTTAGATGCCATGAATATTTTTTTGTTGTTGGTGTTAGCAACTCTGTATACATATTAGAAGAAGAACACGACTACTCCTCAGCGACGTTTAACTACGACTGACAAGTTAGCGACTAAACGTCAGGTTGATAAGGGTGACAGAGACGGCGCTATACGAAGCCGAAGCTAGCCGAGTATCTCTTTCTAAAGCACGATGCGACTTATAAATGGCCGGGTACTGTATACTATTAGAGAGAGAGAGAGAGAGTTTGATGTGATGGTGGAATATATTTACCCTTGTATCGTATCTTAAAAAGAAAGAAAGCTCGTAAGTTAGCGAGAAACAGAGGGTCTCCATTTGGGAGAGATATCCATTTCTGTTACGTTATGTCTAAAACACTGTCCCGTAATGCGGTCCAGTAAGATGGATAGTGCGTAGAGGACTTTAGGATCTTGATATTTTCTGGAAAAATTCTAGATATATTCTATGATCCTCGGAAAGTGTAGGAGATACTCAAAGCGGAAAGTACTATCAATAAGTGTTATAGTCTATATTCTTTTTCCAATTTTATTCTCTTGATATGCTAAAGTTTATTCTTCTTTACAAGAATGTCAAATGCGCAGATACTTTTGTTGAATAACATAACTTAGATTTATTACCTAAAGTTACTAAATGTCTATTTGAACTAGCTTGAATAACTAATGTCTTTAGTAACCATGCTAAGATCGTAAAGTATGGAATTTAAATATAAACTGAAAGGAAATGCCGACACCCAAACAAAATGAGCCAAGGAAGAGCATTCTAGTTGTTCCAAGTCGAGTGGTTAGCAGACCTGATGATGTTGAAGGAGGAGAAGAAACTGAAATTGCTGCTCAAATATCAGTTCCACAAGAAGGCGGGTGGGGTTGGATAGTTGTCATTGCCTCCTTTTGGTGTGCCATGATTTTAGATGGAATAGTTTTTACATTTGGTAGTTTACTTAGCGATATGACCAATCAACTTGGCGTATCAGAGTCTTTAGTTTTATTGATAAATTCTGTGGCAATTGCATTATATTTTTTCTGTGGGCCCCTAGCATCGGCCTTCATAAATCGATTCGGTTTCAGAGCTTGTGCAATGTCAGGATCGGTTATTTGTTCATGTTCATTATTTTTGTGTTATTTCGTCACCAACTACTTCTTGTTGATTGTGTTTTATGGCGTTTTAGCCGGATTTGGATATTGTCTGATTAATATGGCTTCGGCATTGGTAGTTGGATTTTATTTTGAAAAACTACGTTCAATTGCTTTATCATTAGCAACTTCCGGCTCCAGCGCAGGTGTATCGGCTTTATTTCCTCTAAACGATTACTTAGTTGGTTTAGCAGGTTGGCAAACTACAACTCTGTTACATTCTGGATTGTTAGGTACAATATTTTTTGTGAGTATGGCATTTCGACCTTTATTATCTCTAACAGTAATAAAAACTTCAGATGATCCAACACGCACTGTTACATATTTGCCAAATTTATCGAAAGTAGCGGTTCCATCAGCACCATCAAGCTCTAAGATAGAAGGTCTGAAACCAACTGCTGCTGAACGTTTATTTAGTGCTGTCTCTAATGTAAATTTTCCAACTGCTGCAGCTGTCGTCGAAGATGAGTTGACCAAACCTAGTACCCAACCTGGTCCATCAACTGCTGCTGCATCTAAACTCACTCTTACAGCACACCATCCTCAAGGAGTTAGTCGTCGTCATATAAAACAAGTACAGTCTCTAATGTCTAGGACCAGCGTACAAGATAAGACTAAGAATATTGAAGTCGTCATAAATGTAGAAGAACGTCCTAAAAAACGGAGCTGCTGGGCACGATTATGCCATTGGGAAGAACACGTACCCCAATCAAGACCTCTATATAGAGATGATGCATTTTATGACGGAAATATAGAAAAGTTACCTATTTATCAGAAAAGTATGATGGATACCGGTGCTGAAGCAAAAACGGGACTTGAATATCAATTAGCTGTATCTCGAGCAATAACAGCCGGAGATTTACATGAACATAGAGGTGTATTTACTACTGCTGCACGAAGAGTATTAGCGACAATGATGGATCCAGCCTTGCTAAAAAGGCGTTCTTTCTTAGTATTATCATGTTCAGGCTTTTTAGTTTATTTAGGATTTTTGGTTCCTTATATTTACATAAAAGAGCGAAGCTTAAACATTGGAATTGACCAAAATAATGCTACAATATTAGTGTCAGTATTGGGTATTGCAAACGCAATGGGTAGACTAGTAGTTGGAGCATTAGCTGCTAAGATAGACCCCTTAAAACTTTATACAGTCGCATGCTTCGTTGGAGGGCTTAGTACTATACTTTCAAATTGTTCATATAATATGTATTATCAATATGGATACGTGTCTGTTTATGGATTTTTCGCGATTAACCTAGTTTCTTTGCGAAGTATGGTAATAGTTTCAATGTTTGGCCTGGATAAATTAACAAGTGCAACGGGAATGATGTTGTTATTCGTAGGTTGTGGCAGTTTGATAAGCACACCGTTAGCTGGTGTTATAAAGTCACAATATGGATATTCCATGGCCTTTTATGTAGCTGGAATATTTATTGTGGGAAGTGGTTTTGTATCATTATCAATATATAGCCTTATTAAAAAAGAAAGGCTTAAGGAAAGATTACCAGAAAGGCCTGCAAAATAGCAGTAGGGTAAACATTAACAAGGTAGCAGACCATATGAGACTGCTTCAAATTATAAATCTAGTTGATTGTCAAATATTAAATAATTATCAAAAAATATTTTATTTACTTATAATGCATATTTCTCGTGTAAAATGCTCAAATACAGGTGATGTTCACAAAGAATGAAGCCGGAAATATATATTTGTCTGTCGTGTTGTGTCGTAACAAGGGCTTGCATACGAAAAGTTTTGTTTTTATTAGAATATTAAACGATTTTTTTTTTAAAGTTTAAACTGTTTTATTGATCATGTTTTTAAAGGATTTCTAATTTAACAAGACCACTGCATCTCATGGCATAAATCTAATAATATTTTTAACAAATAAATCATACGACAAATAACACAACATTTTTGATGAAACTAGAAAAAAAAGTAGGTATTAAATATCTGTTATTTATAACGTCGGAGATGCACTCACATACGCACATTACAATTCAAACTTATTTTATTTTTATAGTTAATTAAGTAAATGACTCTACCCCACTTGATCTTAAGTGATGAAAGAAGAAGAAGAAGAAGATGAGTGAGAAGATGTAGGTGCAGCAGTTATTAACTACCACGCCAACAATCCTAACCTTGTCGGCCTGCGCAAAAGCTTCTTCAAGCTTCTTTTAAATGACCCCAGATTGTAGTAAAGAGGAAATACGCGCGCCAGTCGAGAATTCCACTTACGAATAGAACGACAAAAAAATTATTCACGTTCCATGAATTCACCAAATCTCTCTGATCGTGTAGGAATAGTGGCCATAGTAAGTCAATGGCAAAGTAGGCCAGCGCGTGTGATCCTCTGAAGGACACGGATAGGTAGGATATGGACAGGGCAAGATTGAATGGCTCCTCAGAACAAATAAAAGTAACTCGCCGTGGTAAAGGTTAATAACAAATCTTTGTATTGGTTTTAAGATCCCTAAGAAAAAAGTCTCAATATATATTGAGACTACGTAAAAATGTCTCTATATATATTGAGACTTTGATAACATCATATCATCATAATAATCAGCCGATGGACGTCCACTGCTGGACATAGGCCTCCTCTAGGGATCTCCAAACACGGTCCGCTAACTCTATACCAAATTTTCAGCCGTTAAGACGTGAAGAAGTAACAAACATACACACACACACACACAGAAACTTTCGCCTTTATAATATTAGTGTGATGAGTATAATTAATCATTAACTAAACTATGACATCAAACCAATGCAACACTACTTAAACATATGTTTTTATCTTATCTATATTTATGGCTTGTTCTTCGATGTTTTTCTTGGACTTGAATCATAATATAAGTAGACTCTTAGTAAAATGGTATGCGATTCCGTGCGCTCTGAATTAATAAATACGAATTCATATTATACCAATATATGCTCTAAGTATTATATATATATATATATATACAGTGGTGGTCATATAATTAGACACACTACCAACGGTCCTTGACATTATGTAAGATACTTCACCGCCATCGTTTTTATTTTGAAATTAAACAATAAGTAGGTAGGGAAAAATCTGTTCAATGATTTATCATTTATTAGAAAAATAATATTATGATAAAATAAAAAATAATATATATGTAATATAAATCAATTCAATCCCAAGTCCTTTAAGGTATGTATAATAATGATCAACTAATTAGAAACAACAACAAAAAAGTATAAAAAAACGAGTGTGCTTATGACCACACGACTGAAGTGAAACATCTTTAGCTCCATCTGTAAGACAATATATAGATGTATGTACATATACATATTTCATTTACTAGCTATAAGTACTACGAACTCCCGTTCGCCTCGCCCGAACACACTTTTCGTAACGCGTAACGCATGACCCCCCAAGTCAAGCGTGCGTGGGTAAAGAAGTTTCACTTTAAAAAAAATATCTTTTAAAGTATTAGTAATTAGTATTGTTATTTACGAAATAACTACTATCCACAGCCTAACTATAGTTATAATTATTATTTAGTAGCGTATGGGTACGGCCAGAGTGCACTCAGATTCAGATTCAGACTCAGAAAACAAGCGCGAGAAATAAACAGTGAAGTTAAAGCAGGGTGGCCATAGTGGCAGCAGCTAACCTGCTTAAATATATTTCTCGCGCTTGTTTTCTGAATCTGAGTGCACTCTGGCCGTACCCTATCCCTTATTTCCAAGAACAGCACTGCAACGACGACGTGGTATTAATTCAAATAATTTCATACATTTTTCTAGGGGGATTGACTTCCATGCTTCAACAAATGCTTCACATAGTTCGTTTTGACTGGTGTTACGTTTGTTTGCGACTTTCTTTTAACAATATACCAGATATTTTCTTTGGTTTTTAAATCCGGACTACTTGCTGGCCAGTCTAAAACGGATATACGCTGTTCGCTAAGGAAACATTTGACGCTATTAGCCGTGTGTTTAGGGTCTTTGTCATGCTGAAAGATCCATAAAGGCAAATAATCGTCCGAGTAGGGAATCATTGTGTGCTCTAAGATATTTTTGTATTGTCATTGATCCATTGTACCTCCAATTAGGGCTGCCATCCGTCCGGGTTTCCCCGGATTTGTCCTAGTTTACGGGGCGTCCGGGGAGCGTCCGGGCGGGGTTTTATTTGTAGTCCGGGTTAAAAAAATTACGGCAACGCCTGAGTGGCCCTTGGTGCTGCAAGTGTCCATGGGCAGCAGTGACCACTTATTATGAGGTAGACTGCTAGCTCGTTTGCCTAGATCAACATAAAAAAGTTGATTTGTGACATTTTTAACTGTTTTTTTTGGTCTGTCCGGGTTCTGGGCAACAAAATCCCGGGTTATCACGCGTCTTATCCTGGTTGCCACATTTTAGAGATGGCAGCCCTACCTTCAATCTTCCGAACCGATCCAACTCCACATTCGGAAAAACACCCCCAAACTTTAATGTTACCGCTACCGTGCTTGACTATACTTCTTGGATATTTATAATTAAAAGAATTGTTTACAGGACGTCCGACATAGCACTTTCCATCGAAATTTACCATATTTATTTTTGTTTCATCTAAAAATAACACTTTTTTCCATTCTCGTACCGTCCAATTTACATATTTTTTAGATCACCTACGTAACCTACGTTTGATTTTGCTCCTTCAAAACTGTACGGCACGCCGGGCTGTAGCAGTAGCTGGCAGTTACCGACTCGTACTTGGGGGTGGAGGAAGTTACACGCAGGAATCTTGACGGCGATGGTTGACTGTAGCTTCGGTGAATAAAACTCCAGGTGTTCGATATTGAAGAAATCGGTGGGCGCTAGTAATGGATGGCCGGTGAGAGGAGGCTTCAGGTCCAGAGTGAACCGCTTGTCTTCCTGTTCCTTTAGGGTGGGAGCGCCTGTCGTTGAATGCATGTCGGAGCCTGTTTCGACTCGATTTTTATACGCGCGGACTGAGCTGGCCAGCGATCCATACCTCATCCCCGCTATACCTATTTTATTTCTCATTTATTCAAAAAATACATTGGTGCGAGCTTAAAACAATAGTTTACAATAGGTAATAGTTGCGCGTCCGTAAACATCATATTTTAAGTGTGGCGCGCAAAAATAGGTCTCCGCGATATTTATACTTGCCCCCTCCGTAGGGCTTCGCCCGCCACAAACAGGCACGGTAATATTATCTATACAGTATTGTGACTCCGCCCTGTCCTTGAAAATAAATGCCTACAGCCGAACGCTGCGTGAGCACGCGGTAGGGCCGCCCGCCTACAGTATTTTATGTAGTTTTGTTTTTAACGCGAGTGTAAGCAGATTACTCGTTTGTCTCTTTTTTCATCCTAACCACTTATTTATATATTATTCCAGATATTTTGCCCGATGGAAAAACCGAAATACCTAAATATTAGAAACAAATTACGTACTAGTAGATAGGTATATCATTTTTTTTTTTATAAAGGTAAGACACCTTTCCAATATTTCAGGTAATTTAAAAAATGATATCTCTGGGTGTGTTATCGAAGAGTTCAAGCAACCAAAAACAGCAATTGTGCTGTTGTACGATATTGATCGTCGTTTGTTCTTTTCCATACTAAATTATGTAGGTATCTACTTAATTAAATCAAATATTTACAATACAAGACGCACGTTTAAGCACGGCTAATTGCATAAAAAACAATTCACACCGTTCGGTCGTCGTTGCGGCGCGACGGCGCATTCGCGACTGGGTGCCCGCCGAGAGCACATCGAACTCGAGTGGCGTAGGTATGACTCGCTTTCCGACCGTACGTATGAAGATAGAATACTGTATGATATTATTACCGTGCCACAGGCCTTCGCTGCCCCACCCACGCGCTACGTGCGCGTTGCGTGGGGAGCGTGCTAAGTAATTTCTATACAAACTATTTTTGTCTTATAATCGGCACATTTCTATATTTATCGATTTGATACCTATTTATTTATGTAGTCCTATGAGTTATCTATCGAATACAGTAATTTTCTAATAAGAATAATGTAAAACAATGACTTTATAGCCCTACAAAGTTTAGAAATTAAAAGGTCTCTAAAAACCTACTTAGACTCATTTAATACCTAACTATTATACCTTATTCTATAGGGCAAGTGAAAACACACAAAATAAAATCTTTATTGTTAAAATTATACCTATAACTAACTTAATATCGATCAAAAACTATATTTAACATTTGCCTTAATCATACCTAAACTACTATCGTAATCTATATAAAACTTTGCTATTCTAATCCTATGGCTACCTATTATCTAATAAAACATAAAATACAGCAATTCAAACATAACACATTAATATTTCCGAGAGCTTACATTTCGTACAAAATCTTATAAGACTGCTAGAAAGAGCCTATCGTCCCTATCTTTCCTATCGTTCCGAACTATCAGATTCCAATACAGTTTCTCAGCGCAACCGCTTGGCGTCGTGGCGATCGATTAGGTAAATTCTTATAAGATCATCGGTTAGAAAGAGACAGAATAACGTTTTGAACTATCAATTTTACAATTAGTTACTATGGGCAAATTCCTCTATTATTACAATCCATGGCTCATTCTAAGAAAATGACAATGAAATAACATATTTAATGACTGTACGAATCTGTTACATGTGAAATTGCACTTATAGACACATTTTTGATTAGTTCACAAATTAGTCTTGTTTCGATGTTTGACTGCACACGTAAACTTTATTTCTTGCTATGTCTTGTTGCTTCGATCGTAAGGCGGTCGTCTCGTACAAAAACAATTACGTGTTGTAATAGCGAAGTGTCGCCGCGGTGCGAGAGCGTGCCCGACTGAATGCAAGTCGGGCAATTACCTGACTTTCGTATTGCTAAACTAGAAGCGTGTATGAGGTATCTATAACTATAAAACATCATAACTTCAAAACATTATCGTGTCAAATAAAATAAATGCTAGTCACTGGCAACCTCAGCTCGCAACTCCTAACCGAATCCAGCCAGCAATTGCACCGTACATTTTGCCAGTTATATCAAATTTGAAAAGACGTGGTGTTTTTGGGCGTTTAAGTTAAAGGCGTCGTGTAATTTGTCTGTCAAATAGGTGTTTGTATACCGATTGCATAGTGTTTTTAAAGTACCTATCTATCTCCGGGAAGC